GTGTATTACCATTATATAAATATCTAAGTGTATTACGTGTTGCTGGTTCATTAATATTTTCCTGTTTATTCTATGGTCTTATTGTATGGTATATTGATGTTTATTGTGTTTATAAACGACAATCAAATGAAAGATATCAAGGTGGTGATGATGATGGTTATGATAATCCGGCATATGAAGAAACTGATCCGGAAGAAAATCGTAAAAAATATTTTGAAGCTGAACCGAAAAAACTACGTGTTGGTATTCAGGCTAAAAGTTTACGAAAAGAATTCGCTGTTAAAGTAGCCGTAAAAGATGTTTCATTAAATATTTATCATGGACAAATTACTGTTTTATTGGGTCATAATGGTGCTGGTAAAACAACATTTGCATCAATGCTTACTGGTCTTTATCAACCAACAACTGGTGAACTGAAAGTTGATGGAACTGATGCAATCAAAAATCCGGAATTTGCACGTCGTCGTATGGGTTTATGTCCACAATTTGATGTACTTTATGATGAATTAACCTGTGAAGAACATTTACGTTTATTTGCTGTTGTTAAAAATTGTCCACCAAAACGTGTTTCAATGGAAGTATCACATGTACTTGAACAACTTGGTTTAACATTTAAACGTCGTGTTTTAAGTAAAGATCTTTCTGGTGGAATGAAAAGACGTCTTTCACTTGGAATGGCAATGATAAATAATACAAAAATATTGATTCTTGATGAACCTACCTCAGGATTAGATCCAGAAGCACGTCGTGGTGTTTGGGATTTTCTTTTATCGATTCGTAAAGATCGTTTAATCATGTTATCAACACATTGGATGGAAGAAGCTGATGTACTTGGTGATCGTATTGCAATAATGTCACGTGGTCGTGTTGTTTGTTGTGGTTCATCAATTTTTCTTAAACGTGTTTATGCTGGTGGTTATCATCTTCGTATTGCTAAATCAGAAAAATTTGATTCAAAACATTTTCAAAAATTTGTTCGTGAAAATCTGCCTGAAACAAAATTAGAAAATGAAACTGGTAATGAAATAAAATTTACAATTGCACCTGAAGATACAAATAAATTACCCGATTTTTTTGAAAAATTGGAAAATGATAAACAAGAATTTGGTGTCTATTCTTGTGGTGTAAACGTATCATCGATGGATGATGTATTTTTAAAAGTTATCGAATTAGAAAATACAAAATCAAAATCATTAGAAGCAGCCGAAGCATCAATGAATCATGATCTACAAACATTAGCTGTTGCTCGTACTAGTCGTGCTAATTCGGTTATATCGATTTATGCAACACAACAACAGAATAAAACTAATGGTGATGGTCAAACTGGACAATTTAAAACAACCAATAATCATTTGGATGTATTTAATAATAATGCATTTCGTGCTGGTAGTTTTAGTACTGATCGTCCACTTTATAATAATAATATTGGTGATATTATACATCGACAAACACCAAAAGTTCCACCTGGTCGTTCATTAACCATATTGAAATTAAAAGCATTATTATCAAAACGTGCACATGATATAAAACGTAATACAAAAACAGTCGTTCCAATTCTTGGTATTGCAATCGGTTGTATTCTAGCAATTTTAGGTCTTATCGAAACAACAGTTAATGCAACAGATAGATTTCCAAATTGGAGTTTAGAAATCAATACACAAACAGCCGGTTATGGACATGATAATTTACGTGCCATTTATTTTGATCAGGAAAAAAATAATAATATATCATTTCGTAATTATTATGCAAAAGAAATTCGTCATGAACATTATGGTCTAGTACAATTAGATGATTCACGTAATTTGGCACAATTTTTTGGTATAAAATCAGTACACGCTAATCGTAATAAAGGTGCTTATTTGGATAAATTTTATCCGGATAAAGCTGAATCACATTCATCATCATCATCATCTTCTTCATCATCATCAAGGGTAGTACCACCACCATCAACAGCACCAGCAAGAAATTATTCACAAGCATCTGATCGATTATTAGATATTGCTTTAAGAGATTTAAATCTTTATCGTGAAAAATGGTTAATTGGTGCATCAACTGAATATTATCGTCGTCGTTGGTTATATTTTGCTTGGTATAATGGTGAAGCATCACATTCATTACCAATCAGTGTTAATTTATTATATAATGCATTATTAAAAAAATTAGTATCAAAAGCTAATTCCATATCGGTGGCAAATGGTGGTCCATCATATAATCCGGATAATTTTAGTATTAGTCTTGATCAGATTACATTCGAACATTTTAATCCACATTCAGCATTTTTACCATTTTTCGGACGTGTTTATAATGGAATATTTTTTCCATTTTCAGTTTCATTTATTGCTGCATTTTATGTATTGTTTCCAACGCATGAACGTATTTCTAAGGTATTTATTTTGTTGATTTTTTTTAAAACAAACTTAAATAAAATAAAATAAAATAAAATAAAATTCGGTATTTTTTTTTCATTTTAAAAATTTTAGGCAAAACTTTTACAATTAATGACCGGTCTTAGTGTACGATTATATTGGATTTCAAATTTTATATTTGATTTTACTGTTTATTTTTGCTATTTTGTTGCAATGTTTACATTGATTTTAATATGGGATCGTAGTTTTGGTTATGGTCTTTATTTTTCAAATCCATTATCAACATGTAAGTTTTTTTTGGTTTGGTTTTTACAATCAAAAAACAAATTTTCTTTTTTTTCAATCACTTTTCTAGTGGCATTCATGTCATTATTTTTAACATTTGGATTAGCAGCCATACCATTTGCATATGTTGCATCATTAATATTTCGAAAACCATCAACAGCATTCGGTATATTATGTTTAATATCGGTTATTACTGGTATCGGTGTTGGTGTTATTGCAACATTTTTCGAAACAATACTTGAAGAAAAATTAAGTGCCGAAATTCGTGGCCTATTCTATGCTGGAATGTGGTTTACAAGATTATCACCGGTTGTTGCATTGATTTTAGGCTTGCAAAAATTATTTACATTAGATTCAACACGTCTGATTTGTGCACAATTTCAAGCATCATTACGTGCCATTCTTTGTGGTATTTATGCTGCATCTCAACGAACCAATCCGGAATTGGAAGAGTTGAAAATTCTTAAACCAGAACGTTGTTGTGATGGTAAGTTTTTTCTTCTCTTTGATAAATTTATATTTTACAGTTTTTCATTGAATTTCTTTTCCTTTTTCGTTTTGTCTATTATTGTAGAGGTGTGTGGTAATGAATGTATATTTCAACATCCATTTTTTTGGTTCAATTGGCTTGGTGTTAATGATGAAATTTTTATGTTAATTTTGGATGCTATCTTGTATTGGAGTTTATTAGCATTATTGGATAACAAAAAAATTCGTGAATCTGTTTCAAAACGTTTCCGTAGTTTTTATCGTGGTACAAAAGATGTAATGAAAGTATCGAAAAATTCCAAATCATTTAAATTAGAAAGAATGGGACATGGTGCAGCATTCACTGATAAAGATGTTCTGGAAGAACGTGCAAGAACGGAAAAAATTTTAGCAGCCAAAAAAATGGATCAAGAAGCATTATGTGTTCATAATTTAACAAAAATATATTCTAATGGTAATTTTCGTGCTGTTGATCAGCTTAGTTTTGCTGTTAGTAAAGAACAATTTTTCGGTTTATTGGGTATAAATGGTGCCGGTAAAACAACAACATTCCGTATGTTAACCGGTGATCTACAATTAACACGTGGTAATTCATGGGCTGGTGGTTATGATCTATTAGCATCAACACAAGAATATCAAGCACAAATTGGTTATTGTCCACAATTTGATGCATTACTTGATCGTCTTAATTCATTTGAAACATTACAATTATATGGTCGATTAAGAGGTATTCCAGATGATGCTATCAAATTAGAAGTAAATCGTTTGATTAAAAAAGTCGATCTACAAGCACATGCTGCACGTATGTGTCGTAATTATTCTGGTGGTAATAAACGTAAATTATCATTAGCAATGGCATTGATTGGTGCACCACCTGTTGTATTGTTGGATGAACCAACATCAGGTGTCGATCCGGTTGCACGTCGTAAAATGTGGGTTGCCATTTCCGATATTCAATATGGTTCGGGTTGTAGTATTATTTTAACATCACATTCAATGGATGAATGTGAAGCATTATGTGATCGTATTGCAATTATGGCTGCAGGTCATTTTGAATGTATTGGTTCAACACAATATCTTCGTACAAAATTTGGTCAAGGTTATTCATTAATTATTAAATTAAATCCAGATATTGTTGCCGAAAATGATCTTTATTTAGATCAGGTACAAGAATCGATTGAAGATCGTTTACCAAGTGCCGTATTACGTGACATTCATCAAACATTATTATTTTATCATATTCCACCGGAATCGGATGTTACTTGGGCATCATTATTTCGTGCAATGGAAGAAGCAAAATCAAATCTACAACTTGAAGATTATCAAGTTGGTGATACAACATTGGAACAAATTTTCTTATCATTTGCAAAGAAACAACCACAAGAAAGGCCTAAACGTAAATCATTGGCTGATATTGCTGAAATGTTATAGTTTTTTTTTTTCTTTCATAAAATAAAATGCTCTCACAATCAATCATGGATTCTATTGCCTCAAACGATTCTCGTTCATCAAAAAAAATTCCAATTCATCTTTCATTCATCGAATTATTTTGACTTTTTTTACAAAAAAAATTTTTTTCTTCTCTACATTCAAAACAACAACAACAACAAATTATCAATTGTAAATCACAACTTATTAATCAACAAAGGGGGATGGCCAAAAAAAAATATGGAAAATAAATTGATGCGCACATCTTTTATAATGAAAAATACACATGCACACGCCTATTACTATTTTTGTGATTTTTGGTTCAAAACGATATCCTGACAAACAAAAAAACGTAAAACAAAATTTCTTGGTGGGTAGGGAAAACACACACAAACACAAACACCCATTTTGCTTTTACAAAAAAAAAAAAAGATGTGTTTCTTTCTTGTAAGTAATACACAATAGTAAGTTTGTTTGTTTTTTTTCGGTGTATAAAAACAAAAAAAAAAATTGATTTAGTTTTTTTTCTACTTTTTTTTGATTTTGATTTTCGATATAAAATATATAGATAGTTTTGCTGTTCATTTTCTTTCCATTTTTTTTAAATATAAACTTTTTTTTTAATTTCATTTTATAATTATAATTATATAATATTTAAATAAATAAATTTAATTTTTTAAAAAAAATTTAATAAAATTACCAAAAATTTGTTTGTTTGTTTGCTGCATATAAAATTAGTGGGTTTTTTTCCATTTGTTTTTGGTGTGAAATGAAATCAAACCATTATTTTTTCTTGGTGATTTTTGGTCTGTCCCAAATTTTATTTACGAATATCGATGATGATGATGATGATGATGATGCAGAGAGCAAAAGATTTTATATATGAAGAACCAGATGAAACACTTTATCCAATCATATTACCAAATATAATATTTCTTTTTATGTTATTATTTACAATTATATTTTTTTCATTAGTTACTGGTGTTATACTTTATTGTCTATTTCGACCCGGTGTTGATGAAGATGAACGTTTAAATTTAATGCTTAAACAACCTGGACAACCAATTGGACAAACATCACCTTTTCATTGATTTTTTTGTTTTTTTTTCATTTCTAATAAAAATTCGAAAAATAAAATAAAAAATAAAATTTGATTTTACAATTTGAAAATTTAAAAAATTAAATTGAAAAACAGCGATTTGATCGCCATCTTTTGATCATCATTTGAAATTCAAAAAAAAAATTACACAACATTTGTGTGCGTGTAATATTTGGCGGGGCGGGGGGAATGAATGACTGAATGAAAGAGAGAAAGAGAGACGCCTTATACAAATGGAAATTCAGGCGTGTTGGCACGTCAAATCGAATGAATGCAAAAAAAGGACACGACATGTGTGAAACTAAAACAAAAAAAAATTGAGCCAAATCTAAATCAAAATAAACAAAACAAAAATAAAACACTTGTCGTTTGTAATATTTTTGTTGTTGTTGTTGTTCCATTTGTCCATCTTCACCATCAACAACATCGTTAAATTTCGATAAAATTAACTAACTGGTGTATGAGGGTCGACGATTGATTCATTATCACCATCTTCAGCATTATTATTATGGTTGTGAAAATTATTGTTTTAAACATTTTTTTGATCTAAATCTGATTCGATTTTATTTGATTTTTCCATTAATAAACAACAACAAGTCTAATATCGATAAAGGTAAGTTCCTGTTGCCAAAGAATTTCAAATTTCCATTGTCCATTTTATCAAAAAAAATGTCACAAAATTTTCCCAATTTTTTAATCATTTTTTTTTTCGTAAAACATCCGTTTTTGATTAAAAAATTTCTTTTCCTTTTGACAATCAGTGTCTGTTTTGTGTGTGTTTCAAACAATCGATTATCGATTTTGAAAATATGCAACAACAACAACAACAACAGTAAATTATCATAATTCGCGAATAAAAAAATGTCGAAAAAATCAATTACATCATCATCAAAAGCTAAGCACACAGCAACTTGTTTTCATTCATATTTCTCATTTTTAAATTACTAATTTTCTCTTTTCCAAACGAAAAACTCCAAAAGTTTTTCTTGCTTTTTGAATTTCTATTTTTATATTTTTTTTCTTGGCGAAGAAATTGACCGAGTGAGTGATTGAGAGAAAATTCAGGAAAATCTCTTTTTTCTTGCTCTCTCTGTGTGTGATTTGTTTGGTCACTTTAAAACATTAACATCATCATCATCGAGTCGAAGAAAAAAAAGAAAAATCATCGTGGTAGTAGCAGCATCAGGTTGTAAAGATTATTTCATAACAAGGTAACAAGGTAACATCATTTATTGATAAACATTTCGAAAAAGAAAAAGAAAAAGAAAAATACCTGACACATGTTCACATTGCCATCATCATCATCATCATCATTTGCTAATTGAATAATGTTTTTTTTTTTTTTTTGCTTTTCAATTCAATTCATTTTAATCTCATGGGGAATGATTGTTTTTTTTTTACACAAATATCGATTGATT